TTCCCAATTTAATAATATCCTTCCTATAGTAGGGTGATCATAACTGTATACAGTGCTCCAAAAGTGCTCTCACCAATGTCCTCTTAACTTGCAACATGACAGGCCAACTCCTGTACTCGATGCTCTCTGTTCGATTTCACTCCCCAGGGCCCTACCATTAACTGTGTTACACCTGCCCTGGTTTGTCTTACCAAAATACAACACCTCGCATTTATCTAAATTAAACTCCATATGCCACTCCTCGGCCCATTGGCCGCCTGATCAAGGTCCCGTTGTACTCTTAGATAACCTTCACTGTCCACTATTCCACCAATTTTGTTGTCATTCACAAACTTACTAACCAAGCTTTGCATATTCTCATCCAAGTCAACTTACTCAGCCATTCCAAGGACTGTTAAGTATCAACCACACTTCTGTGAGTCTGGAGTCAGTTTTGGGCCTTCTGGGGTAGGCACAGCTGATTTCCTTCCCTAAAGTGAACCAGATACGTTTTATGACAATTTAATAGTTTTGTGATCTCAGTTTTTGCCATGAAGATTTGTAATTCCAGATTTATTTTTTATAATTGAAATTCCAATGGCTGCCATGGTGAACTTGTCTCTGGATTATCAGTCAATTGTTTAGATAATTATAAAATAACCACAATGTTACTGTAACTTGATAGGTTTTATACTCACCAATGTGGAGTGGTACTTGAAATCGCAAACTTCTGGCTCAAAGGTAGGTCATTGGCTAAAAACAACAGCTTACAGCATCTGGTGGGCAGAAATAAAACTGGCTTTCTTTAGCTTCAGATGTTTTATTGGAGAGGGAGAAAGAGAGAGAAAGAGAGACACCATGCCCCCTTCCAGAGATCCAAGGGCTTTTTACTTTATCATTCACACCCTCACAAGCTCTTCAGCTACTGTTATGATCTCAGCATGATGTTTTTACTGGATCTATCAGATCCAAGACAGAAAACTGGCTTGGTAGATAATATTTTGATTTATTTTGGTTTTAACAAAGTAGCCTCTTGTGAAAACATAAGCACACAAAATTACAGATTATGCTTTAACAATAAAAGATTCACAAAAAAAAGACCAATCCATCTACCTAAAGTACAAATACAAAGTTTTTATTTTAAAAGCACATAGTATGAGTATGCTCCCATTATGTCCAAAACACCTCTTTCACAGTGTTTGTCTAGTACCTAAAACACAGTCCTGGTGGAGTGCGCAATTACACCACTCATACCAGAACCCCTGTATCTAACACCCAATCACTGCATTTTTAATTTTTAGACTGGTACAACAGTGAGCTTCTTCCTGGAGCTATTATATACATTAACTCAAATGTATTTAGCTTTAATTAACTTTTTCAGCGTTTTATCCCAACATTTCTGTTCAGGGAATAACATTGACTCCCTCTCTAATGTACCCTGGTTCACTATAACTCCTTCCCTTATGAGGAGCACTGGTCTATATAACCATTCCATGATTCGGACTTCACAGGATTGCCCAAATCTGAACAATAAAACTGACACCAAAAATCTCCGGTCTAATTTATGGGTGTTTCCCTCAAGCTTAAAAATAAACAAGTTCAAACATCTCTAACAAACCTTGAGGACTAATTGTTTACCTTGCTGTGTTGCAAAAAGATATCTACAATAAACAAAAAAAAAATCCATTTGTGGTGAACAAAATCCATTCAGTCTAAATACAGATCTCAACTATTTTAAAGTAAGTAACCATGGCTATAGGAATACTTATAAGTTAATTAGTTGGTTACATAATTCTGACTAGAACTCTGATATTAATTTTTGCTAAAAAGAAATTAAAAATCTTTGTTAGAGCCAGCTGAGATGGTGTGAAAAAGACGAAAGCTAATCTGCCCCTCCTCAAATGGGTGTATACTATCACAGAAAAGTATCCATTTTAGTAGGATATGCACAAGGACAATTTATTATCTGAATGACCATAGGTTGGAAAATGCAATTGTCCTTGTACAATACACACAGAAAGCAAGCATGCAGGTGCATAGATGGTGAAGAAGGCCTTCATAGCAAGAGGATTTGAGTAAAGGAGCAGGGATGTCTTACTGCAATTGTACAGGGCCTTGGTTAGATCATACTGGAGTATTGTGTGCAGTTTTGGCCTCTTCCTCGGAGGTGAGATGTTCTGGCAGTGGAGTGAGTACACTAAAGTTTACCAGACTGATCCCTGAGATGGTATGACTGAAGTATGAAGAGTGACTGGATCACTAGGACTATATTCACTGGAGTTTAGAAGATAGAGGGGGAATTTAATAGACACTTCTAAAATTCTAACAGGACTCGACAGGGTAAATGCAGGAAGGATGTTCATGATGACAGGGGAGTCCAGAACCAGAGGTCACAATCTAAGGATATGAGATAGGTCATTTAGGACTTAGATGAGGAGAAATGTTTTCACCCAGACAGTGGTGACTCTGTGGAATTCTCTGCCAGAGAAAATGGAAAAAATGAGGCCAGTACCTTGAATGATTTCTAGAAGGAGTTAGATACAGTTCTTAGGGCTAAATGGGTCAAATGGTATGGGGCGAAAGGAGGAACAGAGCACTGAGTTGGATGATCAGCCATATCACATTGAATAGTGGAGCAGGCTTGAAGGGCTGAATGGCCTGCTTTAAGAAGGATATTATTAAATTGGAGAGGGCTCAGAAAAGATTTACCAGATGTTGCCTGAACTGGAGGGTTTGAGTTATCAGGAGAGGCTGGATAAGCTGGGACATTTTTCCCTGGAGCATAGGAGGTTGAGGGGTGACCTTTTGGAGGTTTGTAAAATCATGAGGGCCATAGATAAGATGAATAGCAAAGGTCTTTTCCCTAGAGTGAGGGAGTTCATATTTTTAAGGTGACAGAAGGAAGATTTAAAAGGTACCTGAGGGGCAACTTTTTCACACATATGTGGAATGAACTGCCAGAGGAAGTGGTCGATACAGGTACAGTTACAACTTTTAAAAGATATTTGGATAAGTACCTGAATCAGATGGATTTAGAGGGATATGGGCCAAATGGGACTAGTTTAGTCTATGATACTTGGTCAACATGGAAGAATTGGACAGTGCTGTATGTCTCTATAATTATTAACTTCAGGCACAGAGAAAACCCACCAGTTACTAAATCAAAAACCCAAATTTACAATAAAAGATATTTTATCACATAAAATTCTCAGTTTACATTTGCACTACTCAGAAACCAAAGAGTTGTTGTCAGGCTGATGACCGTTGGCATTCACAATGGTTCATAAATCAATCAGCAAGTTATTGCAGGCTGAATCTCACATTATACAAACTCAGGTGCCATACATTTTCTCTCATACTTTCCCCTACTACCTGCAAAGTAACAATATAAAATGACCCACAATGGGTTTCAGTAATTTGCTTTTAAATGTGCAGCAATTCCTTTTTCAGTCCTTTGCTA